TCTGGAAACAAACTCATCCTTACTACAGCATCACTCCAGTTGGGCAATACCCACAATATCATCAGTACTTGAGTTCATCACTACACGTTGATCGCACCTTTCATTGCTAAATCCCTCCCCAGTACAGTTAATAATGGGGTGTGTCACTATAAGATAAAACTCCGCCCAAATGAGCCAACGTGGACTAGTCATTCATGAATTTGTCAAGAAATTGAAAGCGCTCACCTGTTTGCATAGCGATGAAAGGAACATTGAAAACAAAAGACGATGCTGCTCCAGAAAAGCGCGGTTTCTACTGACCAATGTCTGAAAATTATTAGAACATTCGAGATATTCGTTTCTCAGATACGCCCTTGCAATTTACAGTTTGTTCCCAAGGAAGGTTAATGATTACTAAGGCGATGATTTTTTGCTGCCCTTGAAAATAAACGATTTACCTTTCTCGGCGGTAGCAAAGTGAAGCGAAGCGAATCACCATGAAATTCCAGCAGTTTCATCTCCAGCACGTAGAATTCAGCAAATCGCCTGAAAAATCTCAATCTAGGTGAGAGATTACCAAACTGTTATCAAACTTTGGAAATTCCTATCAAGTTCTCGAATAAGAGATCAACCTCAGCCCTTCAAGTGGTAAATAATACCACCAATGCACTGTTAGGTGAAGGCAGAGAGCCTCTTCAACAGGGCTCGCCATCGCGTTAAGTAATATGTCTACTGCATACGACCCTCCCCGAGCGAGCGTCTAGTTACGAACAATCGGATGCTTGAATTTCGAACGTTCGCCCGCATTCAGTAGATGCACTGGAGCATGTCATTACGCCATACCTTACCAAGTGGACCAACCAGAACCAGAGAGTACCCATTTTTAAATATCCATAACATCCTGAGGATAGAAATTCTGAAGCATGAAAAGCAGTGTTGTGAAGCATTAGGTTCAGTGTTGATAGATTGCGGTTCAACCTGTGCATGGAATAATACAGTGTGTGAACATCTTCAGCTACCTGTTAAGGAGCTTGTCAAATGTGATTATCTTCTCTACACGTTGCCTTTCAAGGTTCATAACGGATTCCTGTGATTTTTCCAAGTCCCCTCAGCAGCTACTGTTTAAATCTTCGCAAAGTTATTGTTCGTGGACCCCATGAAATTAAAACAGGTGATTCACCGTAACAAAAAAATCGCGTTCGGAGCTTCAACATATCCGAGCGGTGTTTCACAATATTGAAGACTGAATTACGCCAAACCCTTAGCAGCGCACTTCTACCACATACGTATGTGCTACACCAGGTAAGAGACCTCGAAAACTGACCATCAAAACCTGAAATGGCGCAGTTCGGGGAGGGGGGGCATTTTGCACTTTTGCTACTTCCCATCGACGTGTCGACCATCTAGACAGCCTCTTCTCGAGTTGACAGGTTTTACCATGATGGCTTGACGAACCTTGATCCGCAGCTTCACAGGTTTCACCAGACTTGTAAACTGTAACCAGCGAAGCAACGAAATGCAAAATGCCTTCCCCCCCCTCCGGTGCCGAACAGCGCCCTTTGAAAGAATTCTTGCGATCTTATGATTTGTTGCCGTCTCTCACACGACCAGGACTCGATCCTCATAATGTCTTACCGATAAACTGTGGGAGGGAGGGGCTTTAGCGATGAGGAAAAATCTTCAGAAATTTACAGCATATTCCCGCGACTTCCAACAGTTTAGGGCCCCTCATTAAACACTCGAATATCACATTTCATGACTATTACAGAAAAAAGTAAAGCCCACTAGTCGTCAAGAACTCGGGCCGTGCGCATAGTAAACGAGCCGCCTGCTACTACATCAATCCCGCCCATGCAGCGAATGGAGAAATACTAGAACCTACCGATATATACACCAGCACTTCGTTTCCTTGTCCTTTGCTTCTTTACGCTCGACATCAATAACGTACACATATATAGTACGCCCTGAACAAGTTCTGACTCCGTGAAATTGAAATCAGTTGTTTGGACCCTCACCGGTTGTGCTATCCCTCATCGGCACGATTTTGCTGATATTTACTTTCCACTGATTGATGTTTCTTGTTTCCTTGTCAATTACCAGAACAGGTTCTGCACTAGGCGCCTCGACAGCTGATGCTAAGCTTACATCCTCTTCATCCTAGAAATGATTGTTTTTTCCCTAGAATGCCGTCTTCAAGTAACCATAAACTGTATTCGATCGTCATTGGCGCTGCTCGACTGAGGGAGGAGGGGGCATTTCGCTAGTTCGTCCGTTTCCCTTGCGTCATAGTGAACGCACGTTTCACCTTTGGTGAGACCTGCAAATTCTTGTCATCTGTAAATGAAGCTCTGCTACTGCACAACTTCAAGTTACAGGTTTCAGAAGGCATCGTCATCGCTCAACGCGAGCCATCGAAATGCCCCCACCAGGCCGCATTGTGCCGGGTCATCAAGCTGCCTCATTTCAAAAGATTGCTGCTTTTGAAAATAGCGAACGAGAGACTCACCGTTCCAGAATATCCACTGGCTGGAGAGACGCTTCCACCATCACCGGCTGTAGACACATCGATCGACGGTAGACTGAGCTGCGAGAGCGATCGAGATGGGAAACTTGCCGAAGAACTCTATATAGGTACTTAATAATTCTTTATAGCAGCCCTCCCTTGGGCTGCCTTCAAGTTCGCAATAACGCACGTCGTAGGCTGCCGTTCCAGTTGCGCTCCTATGCTATGAACGGTGACGCAGTCAAGGGCAGGTATAGATCGCTGCCGGCAGCTGGTGTTTGGAGAGATTATAGGAGAACAGGAGGATACCATACAATGTGATCAGGCGTTATAAAATGTAGAGGTCTGCAGTGCACTCTCAAAACAGCAATGCTGCTTTTTATAGCTTTTTATACCACACAACCTGATAACCTCCTATTCTCCTATACTCTTCTAGAAACATAGCAGCCGGCACTAATCGATACATACGTTCCCGCCTCGTAATTGCAACGGCGGCGCGTCGACGCGCGTCATGGCAAAGCCTAACGCAGCCTTATAACGATTTCCGAGCAAATGTATAAACTTCGCATACTTGAAGGTACATTCCACCCTGATCGCATGGGCGGAGTCTGGTCCGCCGCAGTGCCTTTCTCTTTTGTATCCTTCTTTCCATGGAAAGAACGGGCCTATACTGAACGCCATAGAAAGAAAGCACGCCATAAAGACGAAGGCAAAATGGTGAGCTGACCCAGCCCATTCGATCATTGGAACTGTGCCTCTTATAAAATCACCCCTGAGAGATCCTCTGATGAATAAAGTTTTCCATGCACTTCCCACTCTTTCCACAATATTCCTCCCAATGGAAGAAAGGACGAATGGAGACATTACTGGCGCCTGCTCGAGCCATTCGATGATCAACGAGAGCACAGGTGATATAGATGAAGCACTACTAAGGGAATCACTCCACGTCTTGTTTAGTCCAATTTCTCTTCCTAGGGTTATCTGAATATTTTTGAAGCCCATTCCAACTAACCTTCCTAAGCATCGGCACCGATGATTCCTTTCCGCTTTCACTGGCACCACTTTCATATTTTGTATCGTCTACGACTTCGCTGAAGCTGGAACCCAACGATTCCTCGCTTTCCATGGAATCGCTCGATCCTCCAACAATGGC